TATATATAATTAATCAAAAAATATTTTTATGTCCAATAAAATTTTATTATGTCCAATTAAATTATTTGGACAAATTGGACATTGTCCAAATGTCCAAATGTCCAAATTGTCCAAATGTCCAATATTATGATGTGTCATCTCTGCTACTAACAGATAATGGTTATATACGTATTTAGTGGATTTGCATATGATAGCTGGAAACAAAAGCCAAAGTTTTACGGTGATAGAAATTTTTTTTTATTCTATTAGAATAAACTAAGGTATTATCCTACTACTAGTTATAATAATAAAAATTTTCAATATTTGAATTTTGGTGTAAAATGGTTAGTGTGTTTTATTTTTGAAATCGTAATTATTGAGCTTAAATCATTATACTAATGCTATTCTTTTTCAAAAACTAGGTATGTTATGTCAAAAAAAAGAAAAATAAGTCTGGTTTGAACGTTTCTTATATTATTTTATTATAAATAGGCGGTCTATAAATTGATTCAGATTCTATTCACGGACATTAAAACGTATTCGAGCCCACGATGATCTAAACAAGAGAATTTTTTGATAGATGAAGTTGAAGGTAAGATTAATTTAATGATCTTTCTTTATAGATATATGTATATATTTTTATTGACAGTATGTAAACAAATTTCATAAAAAATAGAGTGGTCAGTAAGGCCAACACAAGTTGATTTGGATGAAATTCAAAAAGGTCCAAAATGTTCAGCATTGGACAGTCATCTTGGAGAATTGGAGCTTCTAAAAATGGCTACAGGTCGTAAAATGTATTCAAAGTATGTTAGAGAACCTGATACTTCGTACGATGATGATGATGAGTAGTAATCATTTATATAAGAGATATTTTATCATGTTGAATGCAATACAATATTTGTAGCTCATTTTAATTATGAAATCAAAACTTTTCAATATTTCAAGCTTTTAAATTTATAGTAAATTTGTGTAATATTAAAGTATTGTTTTTTATAATATTATTGCCTTTTAAAATCATATGCCGTAAACTTTTTAAGTTAAGCTCATGCAAAGTAATTAAACTTTCACTCGGCAATTAAACATTTTGGAATTAACACGTTCCACATATATATTACCATAGTTGAAATGGGTCACTTCCAAGATATTGTCATCTAAAAATGAATTTATTCAATCTTGAGTATGTTCATACAACATTAATATTCTTGAAACGACCCGCATTAATTGTAATTCGAATATAAATTCAAAAATTCCTAATGCTTAAGTTTAAATGGATATCATTAAATAAAAATTTGAAATTTATAAGGAAACATTATTTTTGTGGATCATTCTTCCTATATCAATAAGAATAAGAATTGATAAAAAAACAGAATAATAGGGATTCAGAATTAATCCTCGAGAACCTATTTCAATAAAAAACAGGTAACGTATTTTTTTAAGACTATTTAAAAAAAGGATATTTCATTTCCAATAAAGTTATGAATGCATTTGTTTGTATTACATTTTCAACTACATATCTAGTTGAGAAAATGAAGTTTTATTGGTTTTATTCCATGAAATATCCGTTAGCAATTTCGATTTTTAAAGGTTTACATCCTAAATATTATGATACACTCTCCGCAGATATACTCTCGGGACGCCATAAATAGCTAATATCTCAAGACAAATAAATTAATATATAAATTAATATATCATATTTCGAAAATAAGTGAGCGTACAAAATGTCCTATTTCTGCTTTGAAATTTTAAAATCAGAAAAAGAAATAGGAGTTATCTGGAGATGATAATTTGTTGTTATCATATGATATTACCGTAATAAATCACCGAATTAATAAAGAACTACAAATTATCGTTTATAGTAATATTACATATTTATTTTCGAATTATTAAGAGATATTATATAATAAGCTTACAAATCAAAATGAATAAATTTCGAAATAAATACATCAGCAATTTAATTCAAATAGCATTGCTACTTACTTATTCAATATCAAAACAAAGCTTTGTAGAAGCAATTTCATAAGTATTTGTGGATCGTCGGTCAATATAACTAATAAACTTGCTAGTATAAATCGTACTATCTTCTAAACTATTAATGTTATTATTACTTTTAACCTCCATTTCTTCATCTGATTTTAAAAATTCAGCTAAAATTTCCACATTATTTTTCCAATTTAAAATAATTTGATGAATTTCTAGAGCTGAAGGTCGTTTTTTTTCGGGATTTTCATCCCAACATTTTTTTAAAAGATTTGTATAGCATGATGTTGTGCCTTTAATAATACTTGGTCTCATACCATTGCATATTTCAAATGTTAATTTTAACATATCTTTACATTCAGAAAATACAATATTCCCTGAAGAAACTTCCCACATAATCATTCCAAAAGAATAAATATCCGATGCTTTGGTGAATGGCTTTCCCTGCAAAACTTCAGGTGCCACATATGGTAAAGCTCCATAAATTCCCTTAGATTCTGTATTTAATGTTTTATTAACTGCTGTTGCAAATCCTAAATCACCAATATAAGCATTATATAAATCATTTTGAAATACATTGCCGCTATGTAAATCACAATGAATAATATCATTTGAATGAATTAATTGAAGATCGAATGCAATATAAGATATCAATTCTAATTTTTTTCCCCATTTCATTTGTGCAACTTTGTTAAGATTCTTGCATAAAGATCCCATTTTTGCATATTGCATAACCAAAATATAATCTCCTGTTTCTTCATCTTTTGATATTCCATAACATTGCAAAAATGTGTCATTTTTACTTCCAATATTCGAATATGCAATTAGCTATAAATTTTAAATATTAATGACAATAGAATAATGATATTAAATAAATTAAAGTAATTACCGGTAAGTATTTACCTCTTTTATAAATTCCTTGTAGCTATTTTTTGATCCATGAAGTAACTTAAGCGCAACAAATCTATTTTGCTCAATACCTTCAATGATACGTGTCCACTTAGCAAAATACACAGTTGAAAATCCACCTTTTCCAATTTTGCTTCCAAATTTTAATTCGCTGAATGGAATCCATGAAATTAATAATTTATTTTCAAATAATAATTGTCTTATAGAATCATCGAAATTTTCATAGTTATCTATTTTTTGTAAATTATAGTTTTTTGCTTTTCGCAACCATTCGTTAGCTTTTTCTTGATTAGGCGATGTTCCATAGCCATTTCGATAACATAACCCTAGTTTATATTGTCCATTGTAATTACCATTTTCAGCTGATTTCAAATACCATTCAAATGCCTTCTTTTCATCCTTATTAGTTCCCGTTCCATTTTCATAACATAGTCCAAGATTATATTGCGCAGTGGAATCGCCACCTTCAGTAGATTTCAAATACCACTCAAACGCCTTTTTTTCATCCTTATCTGTGCCTATGCCATTAACGTAGCATACTCCAAGATTATTTTGTCCATTCGAATCGCCACCTTCAGCAGATTTCAAATACCACTCAAATGCCTTTTTTTTATCCTTATCTGTGCCTATGCCATGTTGATAACAGAATCCAAGTTTATTTTGTCCATTCGGGTTGCCACCTTCAGCAGATTTTAAATACCACTCAAATGCCTTTTTTCCATCCTTATCTGTGCCTATGCCATTTCTGTAGCAATTTTCAAGATTATTCTGTCCTTGAGAGCTGCCACCTTCAGCAGATTTCAAATACCACTCAAATGCCTTTTTCTCATCCTTATCTGTGCCTATGCCATTTTCATAGCACCATCCAAGATTGCATTGCCCATCGGAATTGCCACCTTCAGCAGATTTTAAATACCACTCAAATGCCTTTTTTTCATCCTTATCTGTGCCCATGCCATTTCTATAGCAATTTCCAAGATCATTCTGTCCTTGAGAGCTGCCACATTCAGCAGATTTCAAATACCACTCAAATGCCTTTTTCTCATCCTTATCAGTGCCTATGCCATTTTCATAGCACCATCCAAGATTGCATTGCCCACCGGAATTGCCACCTTCAGCAGATTTCAAATACCACTCAAATGCCTTTTTTTCATCCTTTTTTGTGCCTGTACCATTTCTGTAGCAATTTCCAAGATTATATTGCCCGCCGGAATTGCCACCTTTGGCAGATTTCAAATACCACTCAAATGCCTTTTTTTCATTCTTATCTATGTCTATACCTTCGTCATAGCAGATTCCAAGAAGAAATTGTCCATCGGAATTACCACCTTCGGCAGATTTTAAATACCATTCAAATGCCTTTTTCTCATCCTTTGCAGTACCTTTGCCATAATGATAACAGAGCCCAAGATTAAATTGTTCACCTGAATTTCCACTTTCAGCAAATTTCAAATGCAATTCGAATTGAATTACTTCATCCATAGTGATTTTGAGCTTAAAAATTATACAACATATTGATTAAATCTCGAACTAAGTCTATTTTGTAAAATTTGAGAATATATGATGAATTATTAATGTTAATGCCGAAAAAAAAAGTATTTATAGCATTACAGTCGCACTAGAAATTTGATTGTGCAACATTTGGTATCAGATGCGGTATATGCATGTGTACGTTGTGAGGTGCAATATCGACCCTATTAGTTCTATTTTTACATTATTGCCCTTGATATTTCCGAATTTATAGTTATAGGTGGTACAAGTTGTAAGAATTCCAGGAATTCACTAGATTCTAGGAATTTAACAGATAACGAGAATAAAAATTATTCTCATTATGAAAAAGATAATCAGAATAGTTTAGATTCGAAGAATTCCATTATATGTAAAATTAAATATATAAAGAGGAGTTTCTCTCCTTGAATAAAATTAGTTATCGTTTTACACATAAACTCATTCTCCTAATTCCCCGATAAACCCGTGACTCGAATTAGAGCCTCGTGACGCAGTCTTGAGCCCTATTTGGCCCTAATAGCTCGGACCAAGTCTTTTCATGCTCTCTTTCTGCCTTCCAACATTAGGGTTTGGTTAGATTTAGTAGTTTAGAGTGTTGATTTGGATTCGATTAGTGTTAGTTGATATCCGTATTACACGAATTTCCCAAGTCCGAACTATTTCCCACTTTTTCAATTGGTGGTGGCTGTGAGATTGAACTTCTCAACCACCTGAACAAATAGAAGCCGAGCAATCCAGTAATTCTAGCTGAGATAAGACCGAATTCGCCACCTGGATTTATTACTTTTGAAAGACCCCGATTGTGATATAGAACTTTTCTAATCACCTAATCTGAATTCAAAAAAAAAAAAAAGAAGAATTTCTGGAAAAGGATAATGATAAAAAAGAATACACACCTTAAAGAAGAAACCCATTACCGAAGGCAAAGATTTGGAAATATGTGAAACCGATCACAAAAAGATACCAAATCACAAATACACCAAAGCTACGAGTCATGCCAAAGAGGCACCCGAAGAAAGGCCTCATGTCCTGGTTGTGGAAAAAGAGGATATGATATATCCACGTGTCTATGTGTAAGAAGGTTGGTAGAAAGATGTATCGACCTATTCGAAACACTAAGCGAAGGACAAAGTATTGAAGTCCAGAAAATAATCAATGGATCCTTCGGTGATAACTATATCGACGATGTACAACTTCCCCAGGCCTGGAAGCTAATAGTAGAAATGTTAGAGGATTTTATAAACTATAAAAGTGATGAGGAAGTGTCAATTTTATACTTACCTTCTTATATCCAAGAGACCCCAATTACGAACAAGAAGTGCCATCTCCAGTAGTTTCTCTTACGAAGCTTCCTCAACAAAGCTCCAGAAGAAAAAAGGCCCAGTTACTGAAACCCTTGATGTCTATTTCGCCCCAGAAGAAACAGCCAATGGTGATATCAATAGGATAGACAACCTTCACAAACTCGGGATTAAAAATAAAAAGAACAAACATAGGGCAGTGAGTCACTATCAAAAATCAGTTGATAAAAATAAGGCAAAGAGAGAAGCCATCTTTGACAAACGAAAAAGATACAAGGAAGTCAATCAAAGGTGTAGTAAGAATACTGAAGGCAACAACTTGAATGGCCAACGTGATCCTGAATTCTGCCGGCGAAATAGAGTTGGCCTCGAAAAGGAGAAATCTCTGAATAAACTTAAAACATCTATTCATTGTCAGAAGTCTGCTGATAGGACACATGACCTCAGGCGCTATATTCAAAATGGAATTGAAATTAGAATGAATAAACAAAAGACATCCATCCATTATCAAAAAGTTGCTAAAGTAAAATAAACCGACGACCCTTACACCCTTGGTGCCCGTTATGATACAAAAATCGAAGCTCAAGAAGATGAGCATGAGGTCGAAGAGAAAGTTCTAATAAATTACAAGAAACCTGCCAAAAGTAATCATGCCAATGGGATTGAATTTGAAAAGGATAATGATAAGGCATTCACCAATTATCAGAAGTCACGGAAGAAAGGTGAACCTGAAAGAACATTTCGAGCTGGCTATTGTTATGAAAATACAAGTGAACCAGAAGGAGCCTATAAATGCGCAACTTATTTTGAACCCGAGTTTAAAAACAGTAACGAAGCTAATGGAGACATCGAGGATGATGAAGGTGCTAATAAAGAAGAAGGAAAGATGAGAAAAGCCAAAGGACTGAAGACGTGTACTGGAACTCTTAAAGATGTTTGTAATGCCTGGATACGAAAGGTTAAAGAATTTAAAAGATAATCAAGAAGAAAGAATCAGAAGAGCCAAAAGCAATTGGCAGTAGAGAGGTAAACGAGTCGAACCTACCTGCTGAAGTTAAGGCATCTACTACGTATCAAAAGTCATCGAAGTTCAATAGCCCTGAAGATTCTGAATCTATTGATTATCGACTTGCCGATAATAATCTTATGTGCTGTAATCGAAGTAGAGTTAAAAATGAAAAGAATAAATATAAGACATCTATTCATTATCAAGAAATTGCAAAGGTGAATCAAAGCAACAAATTGTACTCCCCTGGCACCTGTGACAAAGACGAAATCGAAGCTGAAAAAGAGAAGTATGAGGCATACGCTTGCGACAAAGCATCAGCATATATTGACCATGAAATAGAACTTACCAAAGCAACGATGGGTATTGAAACTAGAAGTCGAAAAGAAACTTCTTATTGGAAGAATGAATCTAAAGAACCACATGCTGACCCAAATAAATCAATAGAAATTGAGCCAGAAAATTCAAAAAAATTCGAATGGCATTTGAAAAATGCTGAAGGCAAATTGAAAAGACAGATTAACTTTGGTTTTCAAGATAACATAGACTTGGTTAAAAATGAAAAGACTACAATCAAACAAAATACTAAGCTTGCAAAAATGGAGTATGCCAGTGGAATAAAAGATCTTGGATACTGTTATCAAGGCGAGGCTAGAGCCGAAAAAGATGAAAAAGCTGAAGTAGATCAGCGTAAGGCACCTATTATCAAAAATAGACGGAAATGTGTTATAATCTTGGACATTGCTATTAAAATGGAATTGGGGTTAATAAGTGTAATAAAAGAGCTTTCGAATATTATCAAAATTCTGCTGATATGAGACATGCAGATGGAATATACAGTCTTGGGCGTTGTTATAAAAATGGAATTGGAACTAAAAAAAGATAAAAAAAAAAAGCTTTTAAATACTATCAAAAATCCTCCGATATAGGATATGTAGATGGAATGTATAATTTAGGACGTTGTTATGAAAATGGAATTGGAGTTACAAGAGATGAACAAAAAACTTTTGAATATTATCAAGAGTCGGCTAATATGGGGCATGCAGAAGGAACATATAATATTGGACGTTGTCATGAAAAAGGAGTTGGAGTTAAAGTAAATAAATAAGAGGCACTAAAATATTATCAAAAATCCTCTGACATGGGGAATGTAGATGGAACATGCAATCTTGGTTGTTGTTATGAAAATGGAATTGGAGTTAAAAAAGATGAACAAAAAGCTTTAAAATATTATCGAGAATCTGCTAACACAGGGCATGCGAATGGAATATATAGTCTTGGACGTTGTTATGAAAATGGAATTGGGGTTAAAAAAGATGAACAAGAGGCCTTAAAATATTATCTAAAATCTTCTAATTTTGGTATGCTGGTGGAACATATAATCTTGGGCATTGTTATGGGAATTGAAAAGAATGATAAAAAAGCTTTTAATTATTATCAAAAATCTGCTGATATGGGACAAGTTGATGGAACATGCAGTCTTGGACATTGTTATGAAAATGGAATTGGAGTTAAAAAAGATGAACAAAAAGCTTTAAAATATTATCAAGAATCATCTAATATGAAGCATGCAAATGGAATATATAATCTTGGTCGTTGTTACGAATATGAAATTGGAGTTGAAAAGGATGAACAAAAGGCTTTAAAATATTATCAAATATCATCTAATATGGGGCACTCTGATGGAACGTATAATCTTGGTCGTTGCTATCAAAATGGAATTGGAACCAAAAAAGATGAACAAAAAGCTTTAAAATATTATCAAGAGGTAGCTAATATGGGACATGCAGATGGAACATACAATCTTGGGTGTTGTTATGAAAATGGAATTGGAATTGAAAAGAATGAGCAAAAGGCTTTAAAATATTATCAAAAATTATCTGATTTTGGACATGCAGGTGGAACATATAGTCTTGGACTTTGTTATGAAAATGGAATCGGAGTTGAAAAGAATGAACAAGAAGCTTTGAAATATTATCAAAAATCATCAGATATGGGACATGTTGATGGAACATAAATCCTTGGACGTTATTATGGAAGTGGAATTGGGGTTGAAAAGGATGAACATGAAGCATTTATTTGTTATCTAAAATCTGCTGAAATGGGAGATCTCGATGGAATGTCTAAAGTAGGACATTGCTATCGAAATGGGATTGGAATAGCAAGAGACTTACAAAAGGCAGATTATTGGTATCAAAGGTAAATAATGATTTTATTTCTTTACAATAATAAATTTGATAAATTTATTTATTTGATGTACTTAAAAATTCAATTAGGATACGAACCCATTCTTCAGGTATCTTCATTTGTTATAAAATTATTATTTTTCTTTAACTAAGTTAAATATTTTAATTTTTTTTAGTTACAAATGATTGGATATACAAAAATCCTGATGTTAATGATAAATTAAGAACGGCATTGATCAATAGTAAATGTCTAGTACCTTGGATTTCTTATGATGAGTTTGTAGACGTTAAAAGATTTGCAACAGTATACCGTGCAGAATGGAAAGTTCAAAATCGAAATATTCACGTTGCACTTAAATTAATTCATAAATAAAAAAAACTGCTTAACGAATTTATAAAAGAGGTGATTTTATTTAATAATAATTAATATTTAAAAATTTTTAAAATGAATTTAACTTATCTTTTACTGTTTTGTTTTAAAGCTGAAAGCATACTACGATATTGGCTCTAAAAATCCATCATTTTTACAATGCTATGGAATTTCAGGAGAACCTAAATCTAATGATCATATTCTTGTTTTAAAATATGCGTCTCTGGGCTCTTTGCGTAATAATCTCCATGATGTAGCACAAATGAAGTGGACGGATAAATTAAATTTATTGCTCAGTATTGCTTCTGATCTTCAGATAATTCATGATCAAAATCTTATTCATCGAGATTTACACAATGGCAATATTTTACAAGATAATTTGTATAGTGCATATATTGCGGATTTCGGACTTTCAATATCATCAGACATAGATGATATTAGGGTTTGTGGAATATTGCCATATATCGACCCACAGGTTTTGAATAAAAAAAGAAAATATACAACAAAATCAGATATCTACTCATTATGTGGGAAACTTTATATGGCAAGACTGTATCTTACGATCAATCGTATTTATCACAACTTCATATAGATATAAGTGTTATATAAATTTAATGAAAAAATGTTGGAATAAAAACTTAAAAAAGCGTTCGCCAGCAGCAAAATTATGTGAAATTTTTACAAAATGGCAAAATGATGAAAAAATAATGTTAGAATTATCAGAGTCAGAACAAATATTAAAAAATATTAAAAGTAAACATGGACAAACATATTCTGATTCATATCAAATTATTTCTTATTTTAACGAATCTTATAAAGGCAAGTATTTTTTAATGAATATGTTACATTTTTAAATGAACTTTACAGAAACTTAAATTTCTTAAGACGCAAGTAACTGCATAGTAACGATATTGTATAATTACAATTAAATTTAATTGTAGCTACATAGTTATTACGCAGTTACTGCACTTTAATAAATTTAAGTTTCTGCATAGAATCTTATTAATAAAATCTTATTTTACAGATAGCAAACAAAATGAGATGGTGCTTGAGATTTTATAAATAATATTGATGAGGTGTTTAACATATTTTCTAGAACAAAAAAAAAATTGTATATAGTACAAGATTTTAAAAAGTTTTTTTTATTTGTTTGCTTTAAAATATATAGAAGTTGACTGATACTCATTCAACAGCAATTTCTGTCTATTCATGCAACTCTCTGGAAAATTTATATTGTTTTAAAAATTTTTCGAACTATTGTTTTTTCGTGTTTTTATAAATCTTTTTTTTTTTCTTGGAAAGGGCTTTTTTAATTGCTTTTAAGAAACAAAACCCGGGGTTTTCACAATTAACTTATTTCAAAAATGAATTACGTGTATTTATTTAATAAATAAGTAATTTGAATTTTATTTTGCGTGGGAAATTTGGCACAGAATTATTTTGTAATACTGTAATATAAACGTCTTTTGTTTTAATAACATGTATATATAATACTGTAATATTGTAAACTTTGAAGTTTTAATGTATATTGAGTAAGGAAAGCATATAATATAAAGTATTGATTTTATAACTATACCTATATTGATACGGCACCTTTGATATATTACCCAAATATTCACCAAACAGAATCAAATTGAAAATCCTTTCGAAAATTTTGAATTTCTTTAAACTTCTAGCGAAGATTTCTCAGTAACCATTTGATCAAATTTAGAAAAACTTTTTTTATTTTGATTCTATATATTTATAAAATTAAAATAAAAAAAATCATTGAATTTAGTTTAGTGGTTATCGAGAAACCTTTGCTAGAAGGTTTGAAAAAGCTTGAAATATCTTGGAAAGAAAATCCAAAATCGGCAAATTTTTTCTTTTTGAAATTTTAAACGATGATTTCTCAACACTCATATATCTAAACTCAATGAGCATTTTTTTATTTTGATTCTGCAAGTACATAGGATTAAAATAAAAAACTTTTGATCGAATTTAAATAGACAGATATTGAGAAATATTGATTAAAAGCTAAAAAAAATTTGGCTGCAGCTTTTTTTCTACGGACATCTAAAATTTGAACGAAGATAACTCGGCAGTTACCTAATCAAATTCGATCAAACCTTTTTATTTTTAATTCCATGAGATTATAGAATTAAAATAAAAAAAATTTAATCGAATATGATCAGGTAAGTGTCGAGTAATCTTCGTTCAAATTTTAGATATCCGTAAAAAAAAAGCTGCGGCCAAATTTTTTTCCAGTTTTTAATCGATATTTCTCAATACTTGTCTATTCAATTTCAGTAAAATTTTTTTTATTATAACCCTACATACTTGCAGAATCAAAATAAAAAAAATTTATTGAATTTGAATATAAGAGTGTTGAGAAAACATCGTTTATAGTTTTGTAAAAAAATTTTAAGAAATTGAATGTTACAATAAAATTATTTATCCGACAAACTAATATGATCATGAAAAACTTTCTTTCTGTTTTTTTTTCATGTGTTACGATGTAATTATGCTTTTCCAATATTCAAAAACAAAAAACTCAGCGAGTGACTCCCTGCCAATATGATCATAAATTGTCGGATAACTGATCATATTTGATCAAAAATTTTTTTATTTAATTCTATAAACACATAGAATTAAAATAAAAAAAGTTGATCGAATTTGATTAGATAAGTGCTGAGTTATCTTCGTTCAAAGTTTAAACATCCGTAATAAAAAAGCTGCGGCCAAACTTTTTTTTTAGCTTTTAATCGATATTTCTCAATATCAGTCTATTCAAATTCGGTAAAATTTTTTTATTTTAATCCTTCATACTTGCAGAATAAACATTACAAATATACCTTTTTGTTTGCACAACAAACGAAAACTTGTTAACGTAGTATTAAAATAAAAAATTTTTTTCATTGAATTTGATAGAAAATTTCAAAAAGAAAAAATTTGCCGATTTTGGATTTTTTTTTCAAGATATTTCAAGCTTTTTCAAGCTTTTTCAAAACTTCTAGCGAAGGTTTCTCGACAACCACTAAATCAAATTCAATG